ATATATATATAATTTATATGGGATATAACAATGCATTATGCAGTACATTCCAAAATTTTCAGAAGAGCGACGGACCCCCTGGCCTCTTCTGCGCACGCCTATCGTAACGAAGGGAAGCGCTGGGCAAGAACGGGGAAAGAGCACCATGGCGCGGGAAAGGCGGGTTGAAACAACAAACACCACTTCACAAATTTATTCATCCAAATTTTATTGCGTTCTTACCAAGGGCTATACGTATCAGATATGGGAATATATACATAGTACAATAACTGCATAGATGGTATCAAAACGCAACAGTCTACCCTGCATTCGTTAAAAAATACAACACATAACTGATTTTAGATCTTGATATGTTAATATAATATGAAACAAACATACGTATAAATACACATACCCTGTAATAGTTAAATGAGAAAAGACGGGCACCGCGCGGCTCGGCACCAGAGCGCCCCCCGCGGCGCCAACTGAACACTAAGCGGCGGCGGCCCGAGGCCCCGGCGAGGAACGCATCGACGGACGCTTCTTTTGTATCAAATCACGCGCACACGACGTCGATATAAAAGGTAGAGAACGCTAAAGTACGAGACACACACAGACAGACGAAACACGAAGAAAGAGACAGTGCTTTAGCAAGTCCACATCAGATGTCGCACTCGTTGGACGCGGGGGCAGGCGCAGCGGCGGCGGCAGCCGGCACCGCGAGCGCAGCCGCGGGGGCGGCGGCGCTGGCGCGGCGGCCGCGGTGGCGCGGCGGCGCGCGCGCTGCGCCTCGCGTCACACTTTGCGACGGCTTGTGGGCAGACGCGTGGCTGTGGGCGGTGCGCGCTGTGGGCGTGTGCGCGCTGTGCAGCGAGCGGCGCGGCGCCCGCCCACGGCCACGTGCGCCCGGCAGCAGGGTGCCGCCGGCGGGGGGCGGGCCACGGGGCCGCGGCGGCGCGCGGGCGGCGGGCAGCACGGGGCCCCGCGCCGGCCCCGCACGCAGCGCCTTGAAGCGGCGCGCGGGCGCCCGCGCGCGAGCCCCGCCCCCGGCGCCGCCCGCGGGCGCGGCTCCCCCGCGCCCCGCCCCGCACAGCCGCCGCCACAGGCGCTTCCACGACTCGAGCGTCTTGCCCGACCAGATCCACACGCCCGAGGTGATGCCGACGGCGAGCGCCATGAAGTACTTGAGCATGAGCGCGGCGTAGAGCGGGCGCGCGCGCGGCGCACACGGGCACGCCAGCGACGCCGCCCACGCGTCCAGCTGCGCGCTCTCGTACAGCAGGCACGCGGCCAGCGCCGCCGCCGGCACCGCGTACAGCACCGAGAACACCCCGATGCGGATCATGAGCTTCTCCAGCTTGTCGGCCTTGCTGCGGCCCGCGCCGCCCTGCGCGCGCATCTCGCGCCGGATGCGGAACAGCGCCACGAAGCCCGCCAGCAGGAAGGCGGCGCCGGCCAGCAGGCACGCCAGCAGCGGCGCCAGCACGAACGCGCGCAGGTGCGCCGCGCTCTGGTTGCCTGCAACGCGCACAACGCCTCCTCGTCACATTCACGGGCAAGGAATTGGGTTACATGCTACTCTGGGGCTACTTTATACAAAATAGTCCCCTTTCCTCATCTGCGTGGATCATACAAGCATAAAATGCTACAAGAAATGAATGAACACGAGGTCATGACTTCTAGACTGTCCGGGTGACGCCGGGTGACGTTCGGCCTGTCTGCCAACGACGCGGCGTCACCCGGACATCCTAAAAGTCAAGAAATGAATGAGTGAAAACAGAACGGTACAAGTCACATTTTATAAATTCAAGGAAATCTGTTTAAGTCAATATTCCTGTAAACTCGCGGTGTTTTCTTTCATCATTAAAACCATGGCATTTAATTGTTCTTTAAACCCACGAAAATACATTGCCATTCAATGAGCAATTTCAACGCGGTCTTTGAATACGCTAAATCAGAAAGAACATAATTTGGGTAGACTACTACTTATATTCATAAATAATTACAAAGAATAAATAGTCTTCTTTCATGATTTTCCCAACAGATCTCACGATTCCCAGTAATTCTTTTCGTTATACTTATTTCGTAATGCCAAGTACTGCATCAGGTAGAAAGTGTAGGTTTAGTTTCATTTCCACATTATAATTTACTTACACATCCACACTCTAGTTTTCTTGCCCTCGATTCTTAATTACTGTGAAGAAGTATATAGAGTGTAGATCACAATGAAGACACCAACAAATGATTAATTTAAACAGTAAATGACGTGAGTAAAATAGAAGCGACTCATATTTACGTGAGGCATATTAATCATATTTTCCCCCTTTCTTATTCTGAGTAAATTTTTCAAATAAAATAATTGCCTGAGGCGAACGTATTGTTTGAATGTAACACGAAATGTAATGACGGATGGTGACTTCCGCACATCTTTTCTGTACATGAGCTTCGACGACACGTCCACACTAGCCAACTCTTGATCGGTTCTCTCTTGCACCACACGCCCTGCAGCCCCGCTGCACTGGACACCGGTGGCGCTGCCCTGAGTTCGTAAGACAATCCCTTAGAGCGGAAAGGCAACTCTTTCGTGTTATTTCTTGTTTTGTTCTTTTGTTTATTGTGTTGTTAAACGTTTCCATTCATTTATAAATATTAATTGATAGTGTTCCAGACGTTTTTGAAATGAATGGCATTTTATATTAACATATATTAAAACCCTTTGAATAATGATGAAAATTAATATATATGGATGGGGGGGAAGAGAACAACTGACTCCATTCCCTCCCTCACAGCGCCTGTGGTTCTAGCAACATGCTCAAACTGATTTCACCAACCCCCACTGTTTATAATCAATAATTAATTACGTTTATTTCTGCAAATCAAAGGAGGAATACTATACCCTTTATTATTACTGTTCTCTTCTCTAAATCTCTTACGGCTAAAGAATGTGCCATGGGCTTAAAGCACCTCTATGATATAATTCATTGATATGTAAGGTTGAAATCGAATATAATTTTGTACATCTTATTTCATATTCATATTTCTGTTTTAAGTAGTAAAAGCGTACTTTCTTCCATCAAAAGTACACACAAGTTTCCTTTTTCTCAGTGAAATGACAGAACGTTCTCATACAAATGAACGCTACCAACGGACTCGGTCAATTGCTCTTGGGGCGATTATGATCTCCTGTTGAGACATGTTGACGCACAAGGACCCTTGGACCCTGCAATCAGCAAGGCATTGCATCTTGCTTCTTACGCTTTTCTAAGCAGAGCCAGATATAGGTCTCAAGATTTCTTCACGAACAAAATTAAACCTCCTTAAGCAAAAACAAAATTTTCCTCGATTTGCTCAGATTTCCAATTATTGATTTTGTTCTTGAATGGGCGAACGTACCATTCTAAAAAAACGTTGCTATTGAGAAGGCATAAATAAAACAGGTTGGATGATTGTTTTACAGATTGCAATTTCATTTGTTAATGTAAATATTGATATTCGGAGTAATAAGGAGACTAATTTATTCATTTTCAACTGCGCATCCTTTCTCCTTTTCTGTCTAGTAAGGCGACGGTATTTCGAAAGAGATTCATTGTCTCTCTGCGCCACGCGGTTACGGACACTTCCTCCCGAGACGAAAGGGGTTTGGAGAAAGGCGTGACCCTCTGCGCGTGCGCTCACTCCGCATTGCGCACTGAGAGCGCTTCGCTGAAGAGGAATGAAGGGCGGGCGCGCATGTAAGTACAATTAGTTCGCCACAGATAGAATGCGAGACAGTATGAACTATTTTTTTTATATAAAAGATGACATAGATAAATAAATATATGGCAACGCCGGATATTCTTCTTCTTCTTCTTCTTCTTCTTCTTCTTCTTCTTCTTCTTATTATTATTATTATTATTATTATTATTATTATTATTATTATTATTATTATTATTATTATTTCTATTGACGTTGCTGGTGGTAGTGGTGTTGGTTGTTCTTATTATCGACATTATTTTTATTTCATTTTACATTGTCCTCTTTCGAAATGAATAGTATGCAACGCTAATTCAGATAGATGTTTGTATACACTTGGATCTCGTAGCGCCCTGATCTCAACATCCCTTCAGGAACTGAACGTAATTGATGTTGCCACAATTTAAGTGGCGCTCTCAGGCAATAACCCTACAGTCTAACCACTTAATTTGAAATTCGAGGGTGATGGAAACGGTTCCTGAATTTAATGGAAAACAGCGCAGTCGTTGAACGCCATAAATTAGCGTCATGTGTCTCCTTTAAATTTCCCTTCCAAGAATTCATATTAGTACAACGTGAAAGATTGGGGGAATGTATAAACTTTACAAATAATACGAGCAATTGCTGATATATGTCGGGAGCCGATGTTGTGGGAAAATTTTCGCTTTTATAAATTTCACATAGTGACCAGTATCGAATACACTTAACCCCGATGGCACGTTTAACTAAGCCTTATGTTATGAACTAATGTAACCTCTTCGGGACCACAAGAAAAGCTCCTACAACCGATTAACTTCTTAGCCCAGCTTCCTCAGACAACTCATATTCGCTTGCATTGCTTTACTTTGCGAATTTTATTTCTTTCTATGAACTTAGACATCATGAACGAAACATATAAGCCAGTTTTGGAATTCCTGAATGCGCTCTAGTATATAATTAAGCAACATACCCCTGGTTTATAGTACATAAAGTTGCAAACTTATGCTGCCAGAGAGGTCCAACAATGACTCAGCACACGCAATAACAATGAACGAGCGCACAGAATGATATCGTTCGTTAAAGAGTTAATTCAAGGAATGTAAAGAATTCCGGTGCAGTAAATTTGTAACCGCGGTCCATAAAGTAGAAATAGACCAGTCTTACAACTTCCCATTAGGCACCATTTCTGAGTGTGAGCAAGAGTTCAACCAGTTGTAGAGCCTACGCTGAATCACACACTCATGGATTGCGAAATATGTAAAATGCTGTTCCCAAGGTCAAACAAAAACACGTCATTGACAGTCCCTGACAGGGTCCCACTTCAAACATGAGTGAAATCGACAGTACGTTATGCTCTAACCAATGATCGATCGAGCAGTCCTCCTTTCGATCGTCGAGGTGAGCGGTCCAACCTTACGGGTCGACCCTCGTTCTGGCATCCTATGGTTTGGTCGAAGAATCGCGGTCGAGATGTTGCAAGACGCACGGCCTTCTGAAGGAATCACTCGACTGCATCCAGCGGTCCGTATTCCGTCATCCCCGCATGCCTGCTAAGCCCTTTTCACTTTTCGTTAGTTGAGAAGGCATGGCCCGTCAGCATCTCGTTTTTGTTAAATTTCCATTCATAAGTAGCGCCTATAGAAGCCGACCTAATTAGCCAAGGTGGCTAAAGCATGGCCGAATAAGTGCCTCCGTCTGAAGGATAGCGGGTTCGAGGCCCGCCGTGGCATGGTTGTTTGTTTCTTGTCTTTCATGTGTGTTGTCGCGGAAGGTCTTGTGAGTCTGCTGACCACAAACCAAGGAGCTCGCATGTGTGGCAGTTTCTAGTGTAAAGGTCCTCGTGGGGAACATAGTGGGTAGTCGGCGCGGATAGACGAAATCGGCATCCCCTAAAGCTGGAAATGCCAACGGAAAACAAAGTAGCGCAAATAGAATTGTGTATGTTAAGTCAGCGGGGTAAGACGATGGTCGTGATAGATATTTCAAGTTTTGTTATAACACACACGTTTAAGTGTGATTTCCAACGTTGGCAGTGCTATGTTCAAATGATTTTTTGAAAACTGAAGCGGATCAATTATAATCGATTAGTCTAATGCTAAGCAGACAAGTGCCTGGAAACCGGTCAGGAGCTTCAAGATTGTTCCGACTGGGACGGTGCCCCACTGGTGGGAGATACCCCGTTAGCCGATGGTAGGTCGGCGCCGGATCTCATCCAGTAGACGAAGATCAGCGCCACCTCCCCTGATAACATGCACTAACCCCTAGGGGACAAATGACATGAGAAGTTGACTCGCCCGGAATCATTAATCAACCAACCAACCATCGATCCCGGGATGCAGTCGGTCCACGCCCCTTTCCCAGCCCGCCTTCACCAACCAACCATCGAGCCCGGGATGCAGTCGGTCCAAGCCCCCTTCCCAGCCCGCCTTCACCACCCATTGAGCCCAGGACGCAGTCGGTCCACGCCCCCTTTCCAACCCACCACCAACCATCGAGCCCGGGATGCAGTCGGCCCACACCGCCTTCCCATCCGGCCTTCAACGGCGGCGCGCGCCCTTACCGACAGAGCAGACGCCCGCGACGGCGTCCCCGTCGACGGCGCCGGCCACCAGCACGGCGACGGCCTGCAGCGTGGGCAGCAGCCACGCGGCCAGGTGGAAGTACTGCGAGTAGCCGGCGATGGCCTCGTTGCCCCACTTGAGGCCGGCGGCCAGGAACCAGGTGAGCGCCAGCACCACCCACCACACGGCGGACGCCATGCCGAAGTAGTAGACGAGCAGGAAGACGAGCGTGCAGAGGCCCGGACCGGCCGCGCCGCGCCGCAGCGCCGCGCCGTCGCACGCCACCGCCTCGTGGCCCAGCGCCGCGCGCAGCAGGTACCCCAGCGCCACCTGCGCACCAGCACACCTCACATCACGTCAAGCAACAGATATATCGGTCCACTTCAATTCAATTCCATTCCTTTCACAGCCTTGTAACCCCAGCGCCACCTGCGCACCAGCACATCTCACGTTAAGGCAAGCAACAGATACATCGGTTCACTTCACTTCATTTCCATTCCTTTCACAGCCCTGTAACCCCAGCGCCACCTGCGCACCAGCACACCTCACGTCACGGCAAGCAACAGATACATCGGTCCACTTCAATTCAATTCAATTCCTATCGTTGCGCTGTGACCCCATGAGCGCCATTTGCAAGTGCAGTTCACAACAATTCAGTACAATACGGTACAGTCCATTCAGAACAATACAACAAGCTAAAGGGACATGATCGATTCACTTCAATTCATTTCCCATCGTGGCGCTGTGACCCTAGCGCCACCTGAAAATTCCCCAACAGGGCCATTTGCTTCAGTTCACATCAATTCAGTACAACATGCGTGTACAAGTATCAGCTTAACTTATTAATCAATTCACTTCAATTCCTATCGTTGCCAGCGCCGCAGCGGCGATGACCCGCCGCCTCGAGATTAGACGACTCTACTTTAGTCAATTCAACGCAGTTCACTTCGGTACTCTTTCGACAAGTGTAACATTGAATTGTGCATTCTAAGATTGAAGTACAGGATTTCATGTTTGTCAGAAGAAGTTATTGAATGCTGCATTCATATTATGTCAAGACCTACTCTTTCCTTTTCGGCCACAAGCATTTCCCTTTCAAGAGATGCAGCATTGAGGTTCCGTGTGACATTTTATCGCCCAAATTCAACCGCCTGTCTTTCGCTGCGGTCGTTTGTAACCACTAAAAGCTTGTCAGAAAATAAATATTATATACAAGTAAAAATTGGTACATTTCTGTATTGCGTAGTTTGTCAAACAGTGTACTTGTAAAAGGAAAACTGATGGAGCCGGGAACAGTGAAACACTGGGGCGTACATTACTGTTTTTAAGGAAATTGATTGAAAAAACTTCGTCCTTTTTAGTATTATAATTCCTTGTATTTCTAAAAATACAATAATCGAAAATGATTTTCGTTAACTGTTTAAAGTGTGTTTAGGCTTGTCAAATGATAAACACATTTTAGGTGTTCCTATCCACAGGACATGCTGAGTCACGCGGCGTTGCCCGGATATTTATTTGTAAGAATTATCTATGAGTATGAGCAGTGAAATGATTGTGAAATGGAAATAACATACATCCCCGCCCTCTCTCACTGTTCATACCCATCCTGTCCCATTCCGTCACATCCAGCTTCATTCTGCCTTACCTGGGTCCAGGGACGGATCCGAAGGGGAGGGCACGTCCCTCAAAGCCAAAATTTTTTGTAATTTTAATCTACTTATTCACAATAATTACTGTAGTATTATACCCATATGATACGCCCAGTCCCCACCATTCTGCACGCGCCCCGGACCCACAATCGGTAATACCTCAATTCCGTATTGCGGGTTGCTATGAACGTCTTTCTTTCTTTCAAGACCGTTTGCACTCCTTCAGGGATCCATTTTGAAAAGTCATTTCTTGTACTAACCTACGTTGTAATATGTACGTTGTTAGTACGTCGTAATGTTCAAATATGTTTGTAAACTTTTATAACAGGTAATCTAAACAATTCTCTGTCAATAAATGAAGTAGAAGAAATTGGGAAGAACTGCAAGCTAGTGCCTCAAAAGCGTCGAAATATAGGAGAAAATTACTTCCAAATGATATACGGTATTGTCCGTTTACAGTATCTTTTGTGAGTGTTCCCGCGAAATGTTTCAATAGCTGATGTAAGAAACGCTGATGGCGGCCATTGATACCGACCCAATTTCAAAGTTTATATAAAGAGAAATGCACCATATTAAGTTCGATTACGCAGAATTGCACGACTGGGTGAAGTAAAACAATTCCATGGCATTACATTGCTAACTGAAAGATGAAAATGTAATATTTTTCATCGATTTTCATCCATTGATTATAAAGTGTAACACGTGTAAATACGAAAGTTTAAGAATATAACTTCAAATGAAAGGGCCTCATTGTACTCACATTGAATCAATTCTTTTAAAATTTGAATCTGTAATATCTGCGAATATATCTGGAATTTAATTGATAATTTGTCTCAATGAAAATCTGCAGTAAAACGTAATAAAAATTATTGTATTTCCATCTTCACCCCTATGATCAATTTCTCACTGTATCTTAGAATTCAACTCAATAATCGATCTATGAATATTCTATGGGACGTATGTGTAAGTTTACTAAACATTTTGGAAGGCATCCCAAAATAACTTTAGCAATTGATAGTAAGTTAAATGTAATTCTATTGTAATAGGTCAATGCTACGTTTCAATGTTTTGTGTGTCATTTAAAATTAATCTCTTTTTCACTTCGAGACATACATTTATATCTTCTCCAACAAAATTATTGATATAGCACTTTCTTCTGCAGATTGATAGTACAAGTGATAAGTTGTTTTTTTTTAAATTTTGTTGTCGTTTATTTTCTGGGCAAAAATTACTAATTTTTCGCAGAAACTCGCTGAAACGTATTATTTAAGAGTGTAACATAGTGCAATAGTAAACATGTGAATTGTCTTAAATGTATTTAATTACGGCTCGATGGCCTGATTAAATTAAATAAGTACAACCACACGTGCCGTGTCTCAACCCATTAACGCCCAGCGACCTCATTTGAGGACGCGCATTTCTAGTCAACGCCAATTTACAAAATGTGACTATAAAGAGAAGAACTCGAAAACATTATTTCACATTTATATTGAACTGCTTCCTTCAGGCTAGTGGCGCGATATTTTATCGGCAGCATGACGCGAAGGACGCAAGGGACTAGGATGCCTGAGATTCTGAGGTGCTGTAGTAATCCAGGACATCTTAGATATTGCTGTCATCTCTTGAGAGCCGGGTGATTGATTGACTTATTTTCGATGTAATAATTCATTCCTTGTCAATGCGTTGACAACCACAAGACCTGAAAGGTGTATTTGATTGAAATCCATGTCAGAAATGCGTCAACGAAAGATTTGTAATTTGTCAAAATCGAATTCAAACCTTTTCTTGCAAAACATTTTGCGTACTTAGTAATAATGATTAATCAAAGTCTGGTTAAGTCTTTTTTTTTTTGCTGTATCATACTTGAGCGACAGTTCTTACCCCGTCATGTGCGATACAGAAATTTAAAGAGATTTTCTTTCATTATTCTGCTTTGAATAATAATTATTCTCATATTTTCGTCGTTCGAACACTTTCAGCAGTTCAGCACATATACAACTTTTGCAAGCAAACTGTTGAAAAGGTTAAAGTACTACGTGACAAAAATCGTAAGCTTTAAACCAAGTAAGGCCGATCGAGTATGGCGAAAGGAATTTTAGAGCACAAGCAATAATGTGTAATTGTAGGAGCGTTCTGGCACGTTTCTTTAACGTCTATAATTTCTAAGCATGACGTCCGTCTTCTGCTAGACTCTTTACCCGTCAAGAAACCCTATGTGAAACAACATAAAAACATTTTGTAAACCTATACAAAATACATTCCTACTACATGAAATACCACGAAGGCCGACGTTATAGTTCAAGGATCCTTGTTATAGTTCAATGTATCTCATGGCGCTTCAAAACATATCAATGTGTGTTCTACAGATCTACTTAAAGCATTTTAAACTTCGAAAACATATTAGGGTACTGTTATGACTGTGGGAATAAATAAGATGTAAGTGCGAAATAAAGTACCATGCATTGACGCGAAAGGTTCTGTAATTTGTGTGCAAATATGCACGCAATATAGCAGAGGCTACATTTTTATAAATACATTTTAATAGCAATCACTGATTATAAAGTTAGATATATAACAAGTTTTTACGTCGCATCATCAATAATAATTTAATCATATTCGTAGGACAAGTACGTTCTTGTTAGCTCGTCTAATTTCTACTGACAAGGGCTTCTGAGTAGAAATTCGAAGCAAGAGAGGGAGGAAATCTTCAAAAACGTTTCAAATACACTCTCGCTGATATTATATGTCGTTTGAAAATACTTTCGGAGATTCTGTCTTGTGATTTAATGGAGTTCCCCTGTGTCATTTCTTCTGGGTAGAAGAACTAATAGGGAATCCCGTATCTTCTCGCTGTAGGAATAGTATTCGTCTATATCTGAGTGATTAAATGACACGTTTTAGAGAACAAATGACTGAAGCTCTTAACTTAGATGGGTCGACGCAAGTGTACCAAACCTTTGTCAACAGCTAAATAGAACTTCTCACTTTAAAAAATTGGGTTGTCTTTCCAACTTCGTGGAATTTTTCTCAACAGTACGTTTCGCATCGACCAAATAGTTTGCACACCAATGTGGTTGTTGAGTTCAAAGAAAAAAAAATCAACAATGAAAAACTTATTGCAGTTTCTCTAATAGTACAAAACGATCCACAAATTAATTTGAAGCGCTCTGTCTCCGGACGAAACTCTGGGAAATGCCTCGCTCGAAGAGAAATGTAAACAATGGGTATCTGTCCCTTTGGTTGGCGGGGTGAGTCCACTAGCCTATCTCGATCACTATCCCTTTTCCGCAGTCAAACTAATCGATAATCCCGAATCTTCCCATAATATGCAGAACGCTCTCCCTCATAGTCAACGCCCCATGCATAGCCGTGCGCACTGGGAGGGGGGGGGGAGCAGGGGTGCTATGCCTCTCCTGAAGTTTTGAAAGGGGTCTCGTAGCTTTACATATTAAAGTACTGTTTTTTTGTCGAAAATGTGATCAATTCCTTTTTAAGCAATCATTTTGGGGAAGATGATCTCACATACGGCAATCAATCGTATGTATTAACTGTATCGTCCATGCTATAATTCCATTACCATTGTTAGCTTTATATACTAGTAAAATGAGTGTAAGTAAAAAAGTTTTAAAAAAGGGAGTTCCTGATTGTTATGCCCTCCCCCTCTTGTTTTGGTTGCCTCCCTCGTCCCCTCTCTCTCTCTCTCATTCAATATCTCACTTACTTCCCTCTCCCAAGTCGCCAAACTAACCGGTAATCCTGAATCTTTCTGTTCTATGCAGAACAGTCGGCCTCTGCCAGAAAACATTCTTTGCCTCTGGAAACGGAAAAGAAACGAGAACCCCTGCGTTTCAAATGTTCTCGATGAAGCTCCGTATTCGCGTATCTCAGCCCGCCAACGACCGCTCTCCCTCGCAGCCAAACTAACGGGGAATCCCGCGTCTTCCCGGCTGGGCGCGCGTTCGCGTGAGAAGCGGGCGTATATCTCGCGGCGGCGGGGGCGCACTCACCAGCAGGTAGCAGGCGGAGAGGAAGGCGATGGGGCGCTCGGGGTAGCGGAAGCGCTCGGGGTCGATGAGGAAGGTGGTGACGGTGACGAGCGTGGAGGCGAAGCACAGCGCCGACCACAGCGCCACCCACACGGCGGCGAAGTCGCGCTCTTCCTGCGAGAAGAAGGGCGCGCGGCAGGGCAGCGGCGCAGATCAGCGCACGCCGCCACCGACGCCCCAGCGCCGCAGTCGCGTTGGGCGCAGCGCCTTCCAGCACGGCACCACAGCGGCGGCTTGCAGCGGCACGCCGCCACTTGCCGCCCGCCCCCCGCGCGCCCCCGCGCCGCCTCGCCGCCGCGCCCGCCCCGGCACTCCGGGGAGTTCTTCTTGCTGCCGCGGCAGTCGGGCTGTTGTGGACGGCGGGTGCCCCTGCGAACCAAAAATTACCTTGTTATAATGGATACAAATAGTGGCGTCAGGTAGGGCATTAACTGATGTCACTGCATTGCCTCTGACCGGGTGCTCCTGCTGTTCGACTCTCATCGGTGGCAGAAGTTTCTACTCTAGCCACATAGCTATATTTCGATTTATTTACAGATGCACTTGACGAAAATCAGCTGTTAGTGTCATCCAATCGGGAGCTTACAGGTCACTACATTGACGTCATTATCGGGACATTCAACCTCCCGATTGGATGACACCGTAACAGCTGATTTACGTCAAGTGTAGTTATGTTTAAATCCAAGTACAGGTCGAGTTCTGTCGCTGTCTGAACAAGAATTCTAGCGTCCGGTTGCTCTGATCGGTAGTTTTTCGTGGTGTCTCCGATCAACACCTAGCGAATGATGGAGTAGTACCGAAACAAACGCGCATCATCTTCCTCGTCCTTTTCTCACCCCCCTTACACACACACTTGCATGCACTACACTACCACACATGCATAGGGCTTCTCTCGTCTGGGGCAGTGCCCCGCTGGTGGGAGGTACCTGGTTGGAGAAAACCCCGCTAGCCGACGGTAGGTCAGCGCCAGATCTCGCAATCCAGTAGGGAAAAATCACAGCCACCTCCCGATGAAAAACATGCACTACACTTAAGGAACTAACGACCTTAGCAGTTGACGCGCCCGGAATCGGTCCCCATTCCGTAGCTACGACAGCGTATTTCCTTCCTTCCCTTTCGTGCAGACGTAGAAGTTCGAAGATTTTTTTGTATTGTGCAAAAGAGGCGGATGGGCAACGCACGAGAGAGATGTGGGATGATTTCGAAAATGAACTTGAGCCTCTTAAATGTATTGCTCTTCGTGTAGTTGTTGTAGAGAGGTAGCGGCGTATTGCTTCATGTGTCCGAAATCCTCAGAAAATTTGGCGTTCATGGTAACAGAGCAAACAATGCACTTAGTATGTACAAGTCATGACATTAATATTACCGTACTGTTTGCCGCTTCAATAAGTAAACTGCTGCTAGAAGGATGTTAAGTAATAAATACCGCACGAGACTGATGTACGCGAACTGGGTGCAGTCGGAATGGCTCAGAGGCCAGGGCATCTCAGGCCTCACCGAATCCTTCCTACATGGAGTTTGTGGAGTCATAGAGACCTTTTACACGGTACGGTTTTCTTGCAGAATGTTCGTACAGAAATCGTGCTGTGCAGATTCCACGATTTCTTTTACGCATGTTCCGTTTTGTTCATAGAGAAAATGTACAGTTTGACAATAGCGCCTCTAGCGGCAGAAGTGTTCACTAATGGATCTGTTTACGGCGGAAATCCTCCGTCCTTTTCACTTTTGAGGTTAGGTTAGGTGCGATTCCTGACATTTTGTGTATTGGCGTGGCGGACTCGAGTTCTCGGCGTTTCTGGTGAGTTTATTTCACTACCTCTTGGAAATGTGAGGATACTGAATCTCGATTCCTCCATTCGGAGCATTGTTTTCTGTGCACCCGCAGAAGCCTTCGCAGCTACAACCATGTTTGAAGAGACCACGATTACAGCCTTTCTAGTCTTTCTCCCCGTGTTTCATTAATGATTACAAACAAAGTAGATCAGGACGCACGATCTCAAAAGTCGCGAATGAACGTATTAAATATGCTCAGACGGCAAAATTAATTTGGGCGCCGGCAGAGCCTCTTTGCAACTCGAATACAAAATGTGCAGCTCGTGAAAACACGACCTTTGGCTTCTTATACTTCTAGTTTGAGATCGTGATGTTGCCGTACCGTTTCTGTATGAGAATCTGCACGAAACCTCTACCAAGTAAAATATCAGAGAGTAACGGTTGCAGAGGCGTATTTAGGTATTCAGGCGCCCATGACAAGCATAGAATTTGCGCCCGGGTCAGGATACTTCAAATTAGACTCGTCAGTTGTTTTAGCGAGTACTGTTTTAACAGCTAAGAGTTGTATATACACTAGTGTGACTAAGATTATGATTATTTTCAAACATATTCATAAACAATGTATCTCGAAAAAATTTTATTTAATTTTAATTTTATTTCATCTTTTGTGTAAAGTTGAATTTCATAATTGAAAAATAATTAATTTACCTTTGTTTTATAAATTTCGAAAATAACGAAATGTGGGGCTAAATAGCGCTCATTATGTGCCGTGTCTGCCATATCGTAGATACGCCTCTGGTTGGCTGTCACCCGTGGAACGGAGTGGAAGCTCAGAAGCAGCATCACCGCTCTCACTATCTCCCAGCGGAAAAACTCGCGTCTTCAACTTGCCTCAAACGAAAATATTTATTCACTTACTATCTTTGTAAAAACAAATAGACTAAAAGACAGCAAGAACTTTTGCTGTGAAAGTTCGTAGATAATTGAGAATGCCGGGCGACCCTTGCATAAACTAAAATCGCTGCAGTGTTATCTACAGTAAAGAACTTATATCACCTGTTCAAATGTTCCGCTTCTGGAAATCATCAACCATCATACTTTATGGCTTGACGTACATGAAGATGGCATTACTATTAGTGCAGGAATCCAGAAAGTAACTGTAATCCATTTTCTTTCTTACAATGTAACTTATCTTAACACTTGCTGGTTATGAGAATTCATCTTTAAATGATTTCTCTTCAAGCCAGAACCGTGACCACACTTTTCTTAACTCAACAAAACACTGAAGCCTAAACCGAAAAAAATAATTTAAATCAATTTTTTCTCAAAACGCATTAATGAAGTTTTCACATTTCAATAGAACGAGAAAGACATTGGTAATATTTATTCACGGTATTTTTAGTCTTTAAACATGAACTGGAGAGTATGCGTCATATGATCTACATTTCGTTTGATTTGAAAGCCTATTCTTCAAAAAATAATTAGGTTACTCTATATCTATGTTGGTTCATACAGAGAGTTACATACATTATCAAACGTGGACCTTGTTTCACATGGAACGAAGAATGGGCAATCTAAGTCTGTTTTGTTCTGGAAAAATATTAACAGTAGTTCGGTATCACGCATAAAAAATCTACAATGCGTAATAGCACACATGAACCAATGTGTACTTAAAACATGATTTTATCGTAGAATCATGAGGTAAAAAATAAAGGTAAGAAGAAAAAAAATGATACAGATAGTGTTATGACGTAACCTTGACTTTGATAAAGTACTCCCTCTACCATTTACATGAACCGTAATTTAGAATCGACATCTCATTCCACAATTCAAACCCTAATCCTAGCACTTCAATTTACGAAAACAGTGGGAGTTTACTATATCTGCTATTCTCCGGTATTTGCCAGGGAACTACGAAACTGCAAATTGCGGCTATCCAATAAGTCGAACCTAGATCGGTCTCAGTGTCTCTGAGCTCGAACCATCGAGTAAATACGCGGAGTCAAATGGCGTCGAATGTTGCGGGTTGGAGTATTCCATGTCTTTTTACCTAGTCGTGTAGTTTGCTTCTGATAGTATTTAGTAACCCACCTCAACATTAGTCTCTCCAAAATTATTCATTTATCTCCTACCTTTCCTTCGTACGATGGAATACAGGGAAAGCACCACTTTGATCACTCAGAGGACATCAAGGTATAACCTTCCTCTCACGCCTACTCATCATCACCCGTCTTCAAGCCCTTTTTTTTCGTGACATTTTTAGCCCTTCCGGATAATTAAATTAGCTTCCTGAATGCATAATTATAAATAAATTTAGCAATTTAATTTACAAAAAACTTATAATTCAATTTAGAATGGTTAATACTTTGCTGATATGATATTTTAAGTCACATTGACATTTGTATTTGATTTCCTTGCCTCACATGAAAGTAATTGGAACTTTGCTAACCTTAATAAGTAAACAAGCTTTAAAACGTTGCATCCAGAATGAAGGCGCTTAAAGAAACGATTTGTCTTTAACGGTTCGCTTGAAGTCAGCACCAACAGCCAATTAGAACCGACTGCGCCCGACGTTGTGTAACTTCGTTGATCTGAACGGAAGCGGTGGCCAACGTGAGCGCGCTTCTGAATGTATAATTGATTTATTTACTTCTATGATGCAACACATGAGTTAATGTCTGATGTCCGGTAGTGGTGTGAACATATGGTCACCCCAATTTAAGCAGTTAAGACCGAGTGCAAACGACGCTGTGCCGGCGAAAGGTAGACAACATGAAAGGCTCCCGATTGGTTGGTTATATTGTGTTTCCGGGAGCTTAAACTGCAATGTACATAAGCCCCGTTTGTGTAGGGGAACTTGGGTCATGGATAATTCGAAGTATAAGGGACCAATAGAAAATTCGAATTATTCAAACATTCTGATTAAATAAATAACATAAGTTTGGTATGGTTTTAGGTCAAATGAATGACTAAAATGATCCATCTTTCAATAAGAATATACTCATTGAGAAAGGTTATGAGTAAAAGAGAACTATAAACTACAGTGGAATGCTTATGAATAAAAGAGAACTAGACTGTACGCACCTATTTAAACAAAGTACAATATTTTGTTAATTTTGTATAAGAAGCATAACAATGCAAACATGGCAGGTTTATCATTACTTTTGTAATCCATCAATAATATAATTTTGCAATAGGTACGCTGAGTACCATCTACGAATATTCACATTCCTACATCACTGAAAATCAAATCAAAATCAGTTGTAAAAATCTCAAAAAATAGTTGTTTTTTTACCATAAAAGTGAGTATCAATTTTTAATCAATTACATAGGAAATTCGC